AGGAGTTTGAGGTTGCTGTGAGCTAGGCTGACGCCACGGCACTCACTCTAGCCCAGGCAATAGAGTGAGACTCTGTCTCAAAAAAAAAAAAAAAGAATAAGGGGGAATGCCAAAGGCACACAGGAACCAGATTGAAAGAGCTGTCATATTTCTAATTAAGCATGGAATTAAAAAGATATTTTAGGCCGGCTGCAGTGGCTCACTCCTATAATCCCAGCACTCTGGGAGGCTGAGGTGGGAGAATTGTTTGAGCTCAGGAGTTCGCCAGCCTAAGCAAGACCAAGACCCCATCCCTACTGAAACTGGAAAAATTAACCAGGCATCGTGGCACGTGCCTGTAGTCCCAGTTAGCCTGTAGTCCCAGCTATTTGGGAGGCTGAGGCAGGAGGATCACCTGAACCGTGGAGTTTGAGGTTGTAGTGAGCTATGATGACGCTGTTGCACTGTAGCCCAGGGGACAAAAGTGAGACTCTGTCTCCAAACATCATAATAATAATATTTTAATGTGCATTTCTTTGATTTCTAGTAATGTTAAACTTTTTTTCACTTTGACTGTTTATATTTCCTCTGTTAAACATCTAATCTTGATCTTTTCCTATAGATGTATTTGTGGTTTTTTAATTGATTTGTAAGAGCTCTTTAAATATGTAGTGTATTGATATTTTTACCATACTTCTTGTCCTAGTATATCTAGGTATTTTTAGAGGTTTTTTCATGTTTGTAAGGTAAATGAATTTGGTTTATTATTCCATACCTGTTAATTGCTAGTGATCCGTTATATGAATTTATGTTGGATTGTCCCATAACGAGGCAAAAGGGGCCGCTAATTGAGTAACTACTGAAAACAGTTATAATGATGAAATCTGCTTTCTCTATATTCTTATAGATTCAACTTCTATTGCAACAGAATATTCCCTGAAATTTGATGAATCCATGACAGAAGACGAAATAGAAGAAAAATCATTTCGATCTTTACTACCTTCTGAGAGTCATCGCAGGTTTAACATGGAAAAGAAAAGAGGCCATCATGACGACTCTGATGAAGAAGCTTCCCCAGAAAAGAGCACGATGTCTTCTGCCAAGGTGTGTTTCACTTTATCTACGGAAGTGAGCGGTTGTGGACGTGTTCTCTCAACAAAGGCATGAGGATGAATTTTAGAGCTGAACTCAGCTGTCAGCTACCAGAATTATTTTCCTAAGATTATCAATTTTATGTTATTTTTTCCTATAAAATCTGGCTTCACTTTCCTTGTAAAGCAGTTTTTGTAATTATATATAGGGCTTTGAGGATCTCAGCCAGTATTATCGCTGTAGCTTTTTCACTTGCTTCACTCTTCTAACACTTTATTCTATTTAGAAATTTATATTCATTTTTCTTCCAAATTGTAAGCCTATTAGTTAATGGGAACAAAGTCTTATGCCACAGTGTATCCCTAGGACAGTACCTGGCTTGCAGTTGTTTATTAAAGTTTTATTGGCTGAATAAATTAGCAGATGAATATTAATCCCTCTCACGTGCCTTTTAGTAGAGAATGTTGTCTTACCTGGTTGGCGGCCTTATTAAATACATAACTTATTTTTGTGAACGTATACCTCTTTTAATGAAACTAAGTTCCAAAAGGTTTAGAATGTGATGAACTTGAAATATATCTCTGCTTTAGGAGCTGAGCATGCCATTCTCAGGAGGACAAGACAGCTTTTCTAAGTTTACCATGGAGATGGTTCGACAGTATATGAAAGAAGAGGAGATGAGGGCAGCTCACCAGTCTTCCCTCCTGCGTCTCCGTGAAAAGGCCTTGAAGGAGAAAACTAAGGCCGAGTTAGCCTGGCTGGAGCATCAGAAAAAGTGAGTTCTTTCAGCGAGCATAGTTCTCATTCATTTCTTCTTTCATCAAAAGGAAATGCTTTATGTTTTTAGATGTTTTTGTTTCCTCATGAGTTTGATTTGAGCCACCCAGTTTCTCAAGGTAGAAACGTGGCAGCATATTTAGGTCATGTTCCTTTGCAGACTTTCTTCCTACCCACGTAGCACTGTCTTTGCAGCTCTCTTTTATCACTTAACTAACTCTCACGGTATGTTGTCATTTTGTACTTACTTTTCCTACAATGTTGTAAATTTCCCAAAGTCCTTCTGTCTTTAAAGGACGCAATTTAGGGCTTACGTGTTTTATATACCCAGTAATATTTTTGTTGGGTTATGAATTGCTGCATTGCATGTAGCATATGAATGTAGCTACATATGAATGTAGCAACTGTTTTCCACTTTAGAAAATGTTAAATTGGTTTGTAGACTTTTAAGTAGTCAATAATTCTTAACATAATACAGGTAATAGAAATTTAATCTTCGCCTCAATGGAAAATATTGTTTGCAGACATCTACGAGACAAAGGAGAAGATGATAAAATGCCCCCACTCCGGAAGAAACAGCGTGGTTTGCTCTTAAGGTTGCAGCAAGAAAAGGTATGTTAGGAAAAACACTCTTTTCAAACAGCTTATCATAAGGCAGGTTAGTTTGTGGAATCTGTTATTTTGCCTAATCTCTTTTTCTTACTGCCTTAAATGAGATTTAGTTGATACCACTTTTTATGCCCATACTACTGTAATTATAGGAGTTGCTTGGTAATTCAGTGCATTTCTCCCAAAGGACGGTGTGCCGCTGCTAGCCTAATACAACACTCAACCCTTCTGCTTTTGTACTAAGTAGCATAAAATGCTCTTTTGAGATACATATTTTAAAAATTAATATGTATATTAATTTGGATTAATTTTTTTGTCATTGTTTCCCTGAATAGATTTTTGTGACCTATTAATTACATATTGACAAATATCTGGGGTCAGTGGACCTAGACCTCGCTTTTGAATTCTGATGAGGCGGCATGGTGGTGAGGTGGGAAAGAACTCCGGCTCTAGAGTCAGGTTGTTTAGGCTAAAATCCCAACTCTGCCAATTATTAGTTTCTTAACCTTGGATGAGTCAATTAATTTCTCTCTGCCTCAGTTTCCTCACTTGTAAACTGAGGATGATAATAGTAACATACTTTATAGGTTTGTTGGGAGAAATAAGTGAATTAATACATAAAATAAACTTAGAGTGGACTTTGGCACAGTGGTGAGTGCCAGTGAAGTTAGTTGCTGTTACCTGAATTCCAGCTTTGTCACTTGTGACTGTGGAACCATGGTCAGGTTTCAGTAGCTCTCTGAGACTCAGTTTCCTCACCTGTAGGCGTGGGGTTATGCTTCCTATGGTGGTTGTGAGGATAAAATGAGGTCACATGTGTAAAGTATATTCACAGTGCCTGGTAAGGATTCAGTAGATTCTAGTTTTTTTTCCCCTTATTGACCTGTTGTCAGGTACTAGCTACTGTTTAATTTATCAACCTAATTATTTGAGTTATATATAGGATTATTACTTAAATAGTTTTTTTATAAGTTTGCCCCACGAAACATTACTGATGATATGAATTTGAAAAAATTCTCAACTTTATTTTTGACAAAATTGTGTCTTTTTAATCCAGAAAAAGTGGTTTTAAAATAAATTAAAACATTTTTTAGTTAAAATAAGTAAACAACTTTCTTGAGTGTTACAATAGCTTTCTGTTTGTAAAGTAGAATAAAAGCAAGATTTATAAATATTTTCTCCCTTTGTGTGGGGTTTCTTTTGACTTTGACAGTATCCTTTGAAGATAACATTTATAATTTTGATATAGCTAGTATCGCATGCATGCTGATAACATTTTTTTTGGTTTTGTTAGTTTGAAAATGTATTTGTTTCACCTTCATTGTTGGAGGATATTTTTAAGAGGCCTAGAATTATTTTCTTTCAGCACTTTTAAAGTTTTTCCATTGTTTACTGCTTTCCATTATTTTGGTGGAGAGGTCACTTGTTTTAATGTTTTTTTGAAGGCTCTTTTTATGATTTTTTCTAAAAGTTGTCTTTGAATTTTCAGTAGTTTTATTAGGTAATTAAGTATGAAATGTTTGATTTTCTTAAGTACTGAGTGGACAATTGGTATCTCTGACATTTCACTTTGACACTTCTTTTTTTTTTTTTCCTGTTGTGAAGATATATCCTTAGTCTTTCAAACGCACATTTTGGCTTGTGATTATCTTTCAGATTTTTTTTTAGAGCAGTTTTTGTGAAACCATGGATAGGTCAAACATTCGTGTTGTTTTTGAATATGAGTTCTATCATGGAACCAATGCAGTGCAGACAGTTTGAAATATCATCGAAGCGTTTGGGAAAGTTGTGGCTAATGAATGCACAGTACGTTGATGGTTTGAGAATTTCCATTGTGATGATTTTAATCTTGAAAATGAAACATGTGGGTGGCCTCAAACCAAGATGGATAATGATGAGCTGAAAGCTGTAGTGGAAGCGAATCCACCTCAACCTATGTGTGAATTAGCAGCAAGGTTTGACGTTACTATTCCAACAATGTTGGACCATTGGAAACAAATGGACATGGTAAAGAAGCTGGGGCAGATGGGTACCGCGTGAATTAAACAAGCGTCAGAACAGAAATTGTCTCGAAGCTTGCCTTTCTTTGCTGTCATGACATAAAGGTGAACCATTTCTACACCATATTATTATGTGTGATGAAAAATAGATTTCTTTTTGACAATTGCAAGCATTCAGCACGATAGTTGGATAAAGGTGAAGTACCAAAACATAGTCTAAAACCAAATATTCATCAAAAAAAGCTAATGGTGTCTGTTTGGTGGTCCAGTGCTGGTATTATCCACTACAGCTTCATGAAACCTGGTCAATTTATTACAGCGGATGTCTACTGCAACCAGTTGGACAAAATGATGAGGATGCTTGCGATTAAGCAGCTGAGATTGGTCAGTGGAGACAGACCAATCCTCTTGTCCTCTTGTAAGACCACATGTTGCAAAAAACAACGCTGCTCAAACTACAGAGACTGGACTTGGAAACTCTCTGTCATCCACTGTATTCACCAGACCTTGCACCAACTGACTACCACTTCCAGGCTTTGGACCACTTCTTGCGAGGAGCAATATTCAATTCTCAATAAGCTGTGGGAAATGCCTTTTGCGATTTCATCGCCACTCACTCTCCAGGCTTCTTCACTGCTGGCATAAACAAGCTACTGTTAAGATGGCAAAACTGTCAGTAATTTAGGCGCATACTTTGATTAACTGGACTGCTACTTGTTTGAGATATAATGAACTAAACTTTTGACTCGAAATTGGGCATTTCATATTTAATGACCTTAACACCATGATGTGCTTAGGTGTGGTTTCCTTTGTGTTCATTCTGTCTAGGGTTTGCTGAGCTCTAATCTGTTGGTTGTAGTTCATCAATTTTTCAAAAATTACTTCTTCATGTATTGCTTCTGCCCCGTTCTTTCTCTCCTTTCCTCAGGGACTTCAGTTAGACATGTTAGATCTTTTGACCATTTACCACATCTCTCTCCTCCATTTTGTTTTTATTTCATTCTTAAAGAAAAAAAAAACCTAAACTAAACTAAAGACACTGTCTTTCAATTTGGAGAGTTTTTATTGTCCCATCTTTGAGTTCATTAGTGCTTCTTCTGCTTTGTCCAGTGTAATGTTAAATCCATCCAATGAGTTCTTAATTTTGTTTTTTTAATGGATTTTCATTGTTTGTTGAAATTATCTACCTTTTAGTCTATTTTTCTGCTCTTTTCTATACTTTTTGTACACATTATTCATACTGATTTTAACTTTCTTGTCTGCCATTCTTTCGTTGTTTTTTTTCTTGTCTGCCAATGTGCAGCCATCTGTAGGTCTATTACTGTTGTCTGTTTTTATTTTTTATTATCATATGATCCTTTTTCTTTGCATTCCTAGTAATTTCTTTATTGAATTCTGGGCACTGTGAATAAATAACTGCAAAGGCTCCAGCTGATGTCTTCTTCCCCCGGAGAGGATTTTCCTTTCTTCTGCTGTGCTGTTGTTGTCATCAGTGGTTCACCTTAATCCATTCAAGGACTGAGCTGGGTTAGGGTTGGGTCGCAGAGCTGGTAAGCTTTGGCCTACGTCTGGTTTGCATTGTCCCTAGGTTGTGGCCCTCCAGGGATTGAAACTCGGGCAAACCTTTTTTACTCAGCACAAGAGACTGTAGAAATTTCTGCTCTGCTTTAGAGACGTTTCTGGCTTAGCTCCTTAGCCTTCTGTCTACTGCTTCAGAATTTGACAAATACTTTCAGGAGGAGAATGTGAGTTTGAGGCCTCTTAAGTCTCCAGTTTTGTCATTTCAGCTTTGCATAGCTAGTTGGAGTTTAATTGGTATAACCATTTTGGGAGCAGTTGACTGTACCTAGTTAAGTTGAGGACATATGTCATATATGACTCAGCAGTTCTTTCTTGTCATGTAGCCTAGAGAAGCTTTCACACTTGTGCAGGGGAAAATGGAAACAACTTAATTTCTTTAGTAAGAGAATAGAGGAAACTGACTATGTTCTTGCAAGAAAGTATGATACTGCAGGAAAATGAATGCGTTAGGTATCAGCACTGTCTACACAGATTTCTGAAATGATGGTGATATTCTGTATCTGTGCTGTCCAATACGGTAGCTACCAGCCACATGTAGCTAGTGGCTGTCATACTGGATGGTTTAGCGTTAGATCTTTATTTATCAAAAACTATAATGTTGGCTTTTATAGAAAAGCAAGATGCAAAGAATATGCACGGTATTATACCACTCATATAAATTTTTTAAAATAACCACTTAGTAGTAGTACATGTTCTGTGGAAATAATTCATGCATCAAACGTACATGTAGGAATGATACACTTCTGAAGAAGAAACAAAGGAAAAAGAGATTAGGGTGGAGTTTGATTTCGCCTGTAGTGATTTATTTTTGAAACAGATTTGAAACAAATATGCAAACTGTTAAATATGTTTAATGCCAGTGTTGAGTGACTATTTTTTCTATTTGTACTACTTCAGGATTTTTTTAAGTCAATGTGCAAAAAATACTCTTTGATCTAATTGGTTACCCCTAGAGAGTTGCCTTATAGAAATAAAAGAATCAGGCCGGGCGCGGTGGCTCACGCCTGTAATCCTAGCACTCTGGGAGGCCGAGGCGGGCGGATTGTTTGAGCTCAGGAGTTCGAAACCAGCCTGAGTAAGAGCGAGACCCTGTCTCTACTAAAATTAGAAAGAAATTAATTGGACAACTAAAAATATATAGAAAAAATCAACCGGGCATGGTGGCGCATGCCTGTAGTCTCAGCTACTCGGGAGGCTGAGGCAGGGGGATCGCAGGAGTTTGAGGTTGCTGTGAGCTAGGCTGACGCCACGGCACTCTAGCCCGGGCAACAGAGTGAGACTCTGTCTTAAAAAAAAAAAAAAAAAGAAAGAAAGAAATAAAAGAATCAGAGCATAAGAATATTTGTGTTAAGATATTTATTGCAGTTGTAATTACGTATTGCAACTATGTGGCAGAAATGGGGAGTTCAGAATTAGGCTCTTTTGCTGGATACCAGAATACATTGATTGTTGTTAGCTCAAGGAAAAGTATTTGTGCAATTGTTTGAACTGTAAGCTGAACTAGCCACTTTTTTCAGGGAATATTATTTTCACTTGAAAGAATGATTCCTGGGCGAACTATCCTAATTCAGATTTGGATATTTGAGAGAGATTTTCTCAAGGATCCACAAAATGCGCCTGTCACTTCAAAGAAAACAGCTGACAGTATTTGTTGCCAATGATAATATTCAGGCTTTCAAGCAAGTCAGAATTTTGAAAAATTTCTGTCTGCCACCCAATACTAAATAATTTGTTTTGAGATTAATGGTCATATTAATGAGTGTGATTTTTTGATATTGTATGATGAAATGTATTAACGTTTAGAAAATCTGTGTAACTCAGTAAACCAACATTTTCCAAATGACCAATGCATGATGTTAAAAAAATCAAGCTAGACAATAAAGAGGTTTGCAAAAATCTAAATATCACTCTTTTCACTAAATTTTTTTGTGTGTTTTGGGAAATATAGTTGCTTTCTTAAAAATGCGTACAAAGCCATTGTATACTAATGAGAGAATGAGAATGGAAAAGAACAAATAATGTGTTAGTATTATAAAAATAGTTTGACCCTGAGAGTTCCCTGAAAGTGTCTCAAGGACCCCCCCGGGATCCCATGGAACACACCTGGAGAACTGCTGTTCCAGAGAAATTCATAAATATGCCCAACGAAACAAAAAGTATAAGGCCCTTCATTGTAGCATTGTTTATAATAGTAAAAAATAGACAACAAACCTTCCAATTCAGCCGTATTGGTGATGGATAAATGAAATGTGTATTCATTCTGCCAGTGAAATTTTGTGCAGCATCAGAAAGTGTAAATTAACATGGAGAGGTATCAAAAACAGTGTCTGATAAATAAAGCAAGATTGAAAATATATACATATGATATTATTTATAAAATATTTTAAAACATGCAAACTGCCAAGCAATATATGTCTTTTGCAGATAAGCACAAATATTTGTAGAAGAATATTAAAAAGAATAGGTACATGCCAAACCCATGATAGTTGTTACCTCTGAGGAGTTAGGGCACAAGATTGCAGACTAGTTTCATCTGTAATGTTCTATTTCTTTATAAAATTAAAGACTAGGAAAAAATATAACCAGTTATTAATAGTTGTTAACTTGGAGTTTTGGAAATGTGGATGTTTATTATGCACTGTGCAACATTTTCAGATAGTTTCAAAAAAATCTCTGAAATGCGATTAAAATAATTATAACAACAAATTTTTAATGTTTTTATTATGCTTTATTGATAAGAAAACAGATTTAAACAAATTTATTTTTAAAAAGGGCTGTCTCTGTTAAATTTGAACAATTATTAGCAGTGAAGTATATCGTCTTTTGTCCACTCAGCAACTGAAAACATATCGTGTGTGGAAAGAGATTGGTGCAATGTAGTCTTCAGTGTTTCTAGTGGTATTGTAAGTGGGGACAGTCCTTTTCTGAAAACAATCTTTAAAACTGTTTTAAGAGCCATAAAATGATTCGTCATCTTCAACTTACTTATTCTACATTTAGGAATTGTTCCTAAAAAACTAGTCCAGGTTATGAAACAACTGCAGGCATTAAAACATTATTTTGAATAGTGAAAAATGATAAGGACCTAAGAGTTTAGCAGTAAAATAATGGTTACATTAACTAAGTTACTGGATATGCAGCTATTAAACAAATAAGTGTAAACACTGAGTAGCATTATGGAAGAATGTGAAAGGTGTGTTTAAAAAGGGGTTACGAAATTATCAGTCTGTTGTAATTATGATTATTTAAATTAAGGAATCATGTTCAGTTATTTTACAGTGATGGAGTTGTGTGTGACTTCTTTGCTTTGTCATTACTTAAAAAACTTTTCAGTATTACTGCTTTTATCTTAAAATACTATACATATTTGTTTTTAATGTATATGATGGCTTTTAAAAAATGTTACTTTGGACTTTTTTCCTACAAAGCTCAACCCCTCTCCTAACTCTTTAAACCCTAGGCAGAAATAAAACGTCTTCAAGAAGCCAACAAGGCAGCTCGGAAGGAAAGACAACTGATTCTTAAACAGCAAGAGGAGATAGAAAGGATCCGACAGACCACCATAAAACTGCAGGAGAAGTTGAAGTCTGCAGGGGAGAATAAACTGGTAAATTACATGGAATTATTATTTGTTTTCTGCCTTGTGTTGCTTACTAATACCCAACCCCGTCTCATATTCTAATCTGGTGTTCATTCAAGCAGTACAGTACAAAAATGAACTAGGATAAAGTTCTATGTATATGCCAGTCTTAGTCCATTTTCTGTTGCTATCACTGAACACCTAAGACTGGGTAATTTATAAAGGAAGAAAATTTATTTCTTACAGTTCTGAAGGCTGGGAAGTCCAAGGCCAAGAGACGGCAACTGGTGAGGGTGTTCTTGCTGGTGGGGACTCTGTAGAGTCCCAGTGCGGTGCAGGGCGTCACGTGGGGAGGGGCAGAGCATGCCAGCTCAGTGCTGTCTTCCTCCTCTTGCGCAGCCACCAATGACCCTCTCTCTGACCTCATTTAATCCTCGTTACTTCCCAAACGTCCCACATTTCAAATACCCTGGTCTGATTTCTCACCCTCTTAATACTGTTACAGTGAGGATTAAGATTCAACGTGAGTTTCAGAGGGGACATTCAAACCATGGCAGTGCCTTAATGTATAGTGAGAGTTTTATTTTTTTCCTATGAAATATTCAAGTTTTGAAAGGGGCACATAATTCTTATACAATATTAGTTTAGTTTAAAATGTTTTTCAATTATAAACTAACTTGAAACAGAGAGCTTTGCTCTTGCTTATTAATCCAAATATATTCCTCTGGCTTAATGGGGAAGATTATTTTGCTCTTTATGTGATACTTATTTCAGCCATCCAATTTTAATATAAAGATACAAGATTCAAAGGAGGTATTCAGACACAAAATTTGGACCTATTCTTTTTTTTTTTTCCTCTCACTTCATCCCCATTCCCCTGTAACCCTTCCCAGCCTATAGTAACCATCATTCTACTCTCTGTCTTCATGAGATCAATTGTTTTAAATATTTAGCTCCCATGTATGAGTGAGAACATGTTAAGATTTGTCTTTCTGTGCTTGACTTATTTCACTTAACATGGTGTTCTCCAGTTCCATCCACGCTGTTGCAAATGGCAGGATTCCATTGTCTTTGGCTATGTGATCTTCCATTGTGTGTGTGTAACACAGTTTCTTTATCCATTCATCTGTTGATGGACACTTAAGTTGATTCCAAATATTGGCTATTGTGAATAGTGCTGCAGTAAACGTGGGAGTGCAGATTATCTTTTTGATATATTGAATTCCCCTTGTTTGGATATAGACCCAGCAGTACGGTAGTTCTACTTTCAGTTTTTTGAGGAGCCTCCATCCTGTTCTCCATGGCGGTCGCACTAATTTACATTCCCACCGACAGTTTCTCCACATCCTCGCCAGCATTCATCATTGCCTGTCTTTTTGATAAAAGCCATTTTAACTGGGGCGAGATGATACTCATTGTGGTTTAGATTTACATTTTTCTGATGACTAATGATCTTTAGCATTTTTTCATATACCCGTTGGCCATTTGTATGTCTTCTTTTGAGAAATGTTTATTCAGATCTTTTGCCCATTTTTTAATTGAATTATTTGATTTTTTTTCCTATTGAGTAGTTGGAGCTCCTTATATATTTTAGTTATTAATCCCTTGTCAGATGAGTAGTTTGCAAATATTTTTTCCCATTCTGTGGGTTTTCTCTTCCCTTTGTTGATTGTTTCCTTTGTCGTGCAGATTTTTAGCTTGATTTGATTCCATTTGTCCAATTTTGCTTTGGGTGCCTTTGGGGATATTACTCAAGAAGTGTGAAAAAATTTGGCCCTGTTCTAAGGTACTGTAAAATGTCAGTATAGTGTTGGAAAACTCAGACTATGTAGCAGTATAATTTTTAAAATCCCTAATATTCTGTGCTTTGATTTTTAAGATACCCTTTAAATTTTGAAACAGTCTCAAACTTAGAGGAAAATTTCAAACACAGTACAAAGAATTCTATTATCCTGAGTCATTGGAGAGTAAGTTGAAAACAAATTAATATTGATACTTCACTACCATTTAATCTACAGACCCTTTAAATTTCTTTAGTTTACACAACGATTTTTTTTTATAGCAAAAGTAAGTTCAGAGTCACATACTGCATTTAGTTTTCATGTCTCTTTAGTCTCCTTCAGTCTGGAAAAGTTCCTTGACTCTCATTATCTTCACATAGGTCATGAAAATTATTTTGTAGAATGTTCTTTAACTTGGGTGTGCCATGTTTCCTCATGATTAGATTAAGGTTGTACACGTTTGGTGTAAATATCACAGAAGTAGTGCTGTGTTCTTCTTTTGCATTTGATCAGGTGGTGTATGATTTTGATTATTCCATTGCTGATAATGTTGACTCGATCACTTGATTTAGATGATGTCTACCAGACTTCACTCTCAAGTTACTGCCATTCCCTTTGTCATTAATAAGTACTTTGCATGGAGGTATTTTGAGATTATTCCACATAAATATCCTTTCTTCATCCAGTTTAAGTTTATGCTCTTATCTGTATCACTATTAATTCATGGATTCCTGTTTTACCCAGTCTTACAATCTGTTACTATCATTATTTATTTCATGCTCACTTTGTTCCAAATTAGGCCAATAAGAGCCCCTTCAAGCAAGTTTCTTTGTCCTTTTGGTATATCCTGTCAGTCTTGAGTCCTTCCGTGCTCTCTGGAACAACAAGATGTTTTAGGGTCATTTTGTACTTTCCCTGCCCCGGCCTTAGGATCAGCCATTTCCTAAGGAGGAAAGTTATTTAGAAACCAAACACTGGTGCTCAGCATGCTCATTGCTGTTCAGGCTTTGCTCATCCTAAGTAACAAATCTAGGGAATATGTCAATATATGTAGATGTAGTAAACACATTTTTAGTGTGTGTGTGTGTGTGTGTGTGTGTGTGTGTGTGTGTGTGTGTATAAAAAAATCATGAGTTCATACTGATTGCTCCAATACCAATTCAGCACCACAAGGTTCATTCTTGTTTTCTCTGTTTTGAAACTCCCTTCTCTGACAGATAAATGGTTAACATTTTCCTTAATATAGTTAATGATTTGATCATTTCTCCCATGAACCCATCTTCCATAACCACTACCACCCCCTTCTCCATGCGGATGCCCTGCTCATCCCACTTGGGCTCTGACTCCCCAAATTGGGCTATGCCTCATCCCCGAACCTCTTCTCTGTACCTTCCTTACCCTCTTTGGACACTGACACCCGTGCCAGTAAGTTCTCTGTGGGAACGCCATCCTCACCGTGTTTGTGTTTCTGCCTTTGTGTGCTGAACCACTAAGACGAAGCCATGCACATCGCCCCACGTGGGCTCTGATTCACCGCACAGTCCACTGTCCCGTGTCGGGTGCCCTCTTCATCCCTCTCAGGTTCTGAGACCTCACTCAGCCTCCTGTCTCCCTCCAGCCCTTCGCGGGCACCTACCTTGTTCTCTGCCCCATCTAATGACTTTAAGTCTGAACTGTTCAGGAAGAAGAAGAGCTGTACTTTGTATTTTTCACAAAATACAAACAGTCATGACTATCCCTACCCACGCTCCTGAAAAGTTAGAGTAAATGACTATTTGTGGGTGACATACTAAGTAATTAAAGTTTCACTTTTTGCTCATCAGAAATAATGTATTGATTAAACTAATAGTTCCTGTGTGTTTTCATTATAAACTTTTTTTAATTTTTGAAAATAATATTTTTCCATAAGGAATATTTTAAAGGAAAAAATCTATCTCCCAGTATGATTAAAATAAGTCATGTCTTCTGTGTATTCTTTGTGTCTGTACATATATGTTTTAGATAGTTACGGTGTCTAATTTTGTATTCCTTTTGAGTGGTTCAATTTTAAAAAATCAGAAAAGACATTTATTTAGCATTCGTAAGGTTATAAGTGCAATTTTTCACGTTGATATATTGCGTTGTGGTACAGTTGGGGCCTTGTGGGCGTACATCACTGAAGCAACACGTACTATACCCACCGGTCAACCTCTCATCATCCACTCCTCTCCACTAACCCACCCTTTCGAGTCTCCATTTTCCATCATTCCACATTCTGCTTCTATGTGTACACATTATTTAGCTCCTGCTTATGAATGAGATCATGTGGTTTTTGCCTTTCTGTGTCTGAGTTGTCTCACTTAAGATGATGGCCAGAGAACGTTAAGATACTAGATTACTAGTGGCAGAAGTTTTTTGGATTTCTTACATCTGTTCTTTTTATAAATTATTACATATTGTGATATTCTCATTCTCTCTCTCTCTCTACGTATATATGTGTGTGTTTATGTATATATTTATCTTGTACTTTATGTTCAAACTTTGAATTTTAGTTTTATTGCTAACACATCTGTATTTGTAAGCCCAGTAACTCTATACCATCACATTGC